CAAGACATAGGTAACACGATAGCCCTGGAGCCAGGGCCCAAAAATCGACCTGATCGCAGGCGAAGGTTTGATTGTAAATTACGAAAGTGTATGTTATTCTGATTAAAAAAAACCTTGTCTGCCGTTCCAGAGCCGCTGCTTTCAAAAATGGCGGCTGATTTAAAGAATATTAGGCCAGTAATTTGAGGATCAAAACGGGAACTCCATTGCGAAAAATGTGAAAAAAGTTCTTATTTTTTTAACTTGTATATATGGGTTTAGACATGTAAAAAACAAAATTGCTAACTCGGGCCACCAAGGGAAAACTTTTTACAGCCAAAAAAGTCAGATTTTTTTCGAAATTTTTGTTTTTTTCACCTATAACTCCTAAACAATGCATCAAATCGAAAAATGTGTTCTTTAATAAATTAAAGGACGTTAATTTTTGCGTCAAACGAGTATATAAACTTTATAATTTGGTTACGCGATAAGGTATAAAACCACGGTCAACCAACGCTGAACTTTACCAAATTTGTCAAAAACTCAGACAAATTACTATAAATGGCCCTGTAACTTGGAAATGAGTTCCCTAAGTGGAAAAACCCATAGAATCAAAGTTGTAGAGCATCAAATTTTGCGTCCATTGAGTACTGACATTTTTATTTTAGGTCAATTATATATCTTGAATCGGGATTCGTTAGTCCTTTAGAAAATTCGGAATCTTTCGGCACATTGTTTACCAAAATCTTTTGCTTTTGAGAGGTGGAAAAGAAGCTTATACTGCATGTAACAGACTCTAAATAAAACTAACTCAGTAGAACAGACACCCATACTGTAGACATGTTGAAAATCACGTTCACCTTCATTACCCATTTCTAACCATCGGGATATTACCGATTTTGTTCGCAGTAACTTACCTACATTAAATTAGTTGATACTGAGTATACGCGAAATTTGATGCTCTACAACATTGATTCTATACGTTTTTCCTCTTAGGGAACTCATTTCCAAGTTACAGTGCCATCTATAGTAATTTTTCTCAGTTTATGATAAATTTGGTAAAACTCAGCTTTGGTTGACCGTGGTTTTATACCTTACGGCGTAACCAAATTTAATGTTTATGTAATCGTTTGACGCAAAATTTAACGTTCTTTAATTTGTTAAAGAATACATTTTTCATTATGATGCATTGTTTAGGAGTTATAGGTGAAAAACCAAAAAAATATCGAAAAAATCTGACTTTTTTGGCTGTAAAAAGTTTTCCCATGGTGGCCCGCGTTAGCAATTTTGTTTTTTACATGTCTAAACCCATATATACAAGTTAAAAAAATAAGAACTTTTCTCACATTTTTCGCAATGGATTTCCCGTTTCGATCCTCAAATTACTGGCCTAATATTCTTTAAATCAGCCGCCATTTTTGAAAGCAGCGGCTCTGGAACGGCAGACAAGGTTTTTTTTAAATCAGAATAACATACAATTTCGTAATTTACAATCAAATCTTCGCCTGCGATCAGGTCGATTTTTGGGCCCTGGCTCCAGGGCTATGACAATAGTGTTCAATACATAGGAGGAGGAAGAGGAAATTGAACGTCATTCAATCATGCTAGATGAAGGAGCATCTCAGTAATCAGTTATTTATATTATAATTATTATCAATACGGTTTACTAAACTTTATGTGAATTATTTCCAAGTATTGAAGGAGTTCTAATTCTAAATATTGAAGGAGCTGGCCTTACTTCATAAAATTTGGAGGAGGGGCAGAAAGTTCCTTCCTTCCCCCCTCCAACACAATGCTGACGCCTATGCGTTTAAGGTCAATTCAAATGAAAATATGACAATTGTATGATAGTAATTTTTCTTATCACTATCATTTTGAGAGTGAATATGTAGTTTTTTCTCTTACACTTTCGAGTTTTCAAATTTCTAATCCGCAAATAATTTGTTGAAACTTCTTTTTTTAAACTAAAGTAAGTTAAATTGATGCACGAACATTGATTTGAACATTGAAAAAAATTGATTTAGCATATTTTAGAATTGCCATCCACTTGCTTAAATAAAGTAAAACGACCAGTTTATAAATTACAATTAATTCATCTATTATAAATTATTTTATTTTTAATTCAATAAAACAGCAAATGAATGCGAAAACTAGAACATCTTATATTATTTATTTTTGTGCTAAGGTTTTACATAAGAAAATAAATAATAATAAGTTTTCTGAAAAATTATTTATGTTTTTAAATTGTATGTATACATTTTCCTTAAAATTAATTAATTAAACTATTCAACGATGTAAGCAATTAAATTAAATCATTTCATAATTTCGGCTCAAATATGCCAATTTTCCTTCATTTAAAACCTTATTTATTGAGTAGTCTAGCATTTTGTCAATTGGACAATAGTTATAGAGAGGTAAGTCCACATTCACACTCTATATGCATACAAATATAAAATAAAAAAAAGCAAAATAATGATTAAATAATAATCAAAAAGTATATATAATAAATAAAAATAAAAATACTTAAAAAAAAAAGCACCTAATCCTAAATATAAATGGACAATCCTCCGAAACCTCTCTATCATTAGCTGCAAAACTTCTACACTTTATCCAGTAGATCTGAACGAACTAAATTCCATTTTCGCTGAGCATATCTTTTATGAATTTCCATCTGACATCTCACTTGTTTCCATCACTGAAATCTTCTTTGGCCCAGATAGGTTTTATTTTATTGATATTTTTCCAACTGACCTGCCTTCTGCTATCTTTAAATCCAAAATGGCTATGAACCAGAACAAATACCTGTTAAAATCATCAAACTTGGCAAAAGGAGGCATCCCAACCTTACTTCCTATACTTTTACACATCTACAATTTTTCCCTCCAAAATTCTATTTTTTAAAGTCAGGAAACATAGTCATCGTCCGGCCATTTGATAAAGTTATTGCTCCTTCATCAGCTTCCGACGTCAGACCCATTTCCATTTTATCTAATTTATCCAAACCATTAGAAAGATTAATTCACTCTCAGTTGAATAACTTTCTCGTTTCCTCAATCCTTTAAATCCGATTTTCGTTCCCAGTACTCCATCCAATCTGCCTTGTTAAAGATTAATCAAGACCTCCAATCATCTATAGATAATCAAAAAATCTCTATCCTAGTAATTTTCGACTTCTCTAAAGCTTTTCATTCTGTCAATCGTAATATCGTCATTTCCAAACTTCAAAGCCTGCCCATATCGAATATCGCTTTAATATGGTTCCTCTCCTTTTTATCCAATCGCTCCCAGACAGTTGTTATTCCTAACAAATCCCTTCCCTCATCTCTTCAATTATCACGAGGTTTTCCTCAGAGCTCCTTACTCTCTCCAACCCTTTTCTCCATTTATATTAGCGACCTTCCTGACTCCATTCATACTCACGCTATCACTTATATGCAGACGATCTTCAAATTTACCTATCGTTCCAACCTTCTGAGATGCCTGAGGCTATCCGAAAATTGCCAGAGCATATTGAGTGTATCCTCAGATGGGCAGAAAAAAATTAACTGAAGCTTAACCTAGATAAAAAATAAGGCAATCCTCATCGGTTCCAGGCACCTCATTAGTTCCCTTCCTTTCTCTCCTCTGCTTTACCTCAATAACCGTCCCACCATTTCTATCCAACAGTCAAAAACCTCGGAGTGATCTCAGATCAGAACCTCTTCTGGAATAATCGCGTTTTTCATATTACCCAAAATTTCATAACTATCCTCAACCAATTCCTACGATTCCATGATTATATTTCTATAAAAACCAGACAGCTCTACACGGAGCTGCAACAAATGTTACAAGACATCTCTTGTTTTCTTCCACTTTGACTATGGTTTCTTGGTGTACGGAGGGCTATCCACAAGACTGGAGGCGAGACTGAAAAGGCTCATGAATTCCTTCATAAGTTTTATCTTTGGGATTCCAAGGCGTTCCCTTGTCCCCAGCTTATATACCGAGTTGAAGTGGCTCTATCCCCTACTTCCCGACGGCGATTCCTTCTTGCAATTTTGCCTTTTCAAGTCTTCAGAACCAAAAACCCTCCCTACATCCTAGAACTCCTTACACTACTTTCCTCTATCCACTCCCTTAATACCACATCTCAACCTATAGATCTATATGACCCCTTCCATAAAACCACTTCCTACAGCAAACTCTTCGTCATTCGTGCTACCTTCTTTTGGAACTCCTTACCTATCTCCATAAGTCTATACGTATCTATATACGTCAAACTACGTCTGGAAATTCCTTCAAACAACTCCTATTTCACCATTCAAACTTTCGTAAGCTTGTAACAATTTTTAGGTTTGTAATTACAACAACTAACTAATAAGAGTCAATTTATTTTCATCAATTTACTTTTTCTTAGTATTTTTGGTATATAGTTTTATTTTTCTTAGTATTTTTTGTATATAGTTGTATTTTTTTGAGTATCTTTTTTATATACTTGTATTTTTCTGAGTATTTTTTGTATATATTTATATTATATCTACATGCCAGAATGATGTATATATATTTTTTGAACTCTGCTATGATTCTAAGGGTACTTATATTCCAGAATAAAATTATTCTGCCTCAAATTTCGACAGCGAAATAAGAGCAATTTTATTGGCACTGAAAGCCTTGTCACACTTAGATGCCAAAAATCTCGTATTGTTTGTTGATTCAAAGGCGGATATTTTCGCTGTGCCACAGCTAAATGACTCTTTTGCTCATGATATTCCGAAGTCTCAAAATATCATAGAGGAACTACTTCTTCGAGGAACAGAGGTATTCTTTCAGTGAATACCAAGTCACTGTGGTCCCCATAGAAACGAAATGGCTGATAAACTCGCCGAGGAGGGCTCCACATTGAACCAGCCAGAAAATGAAATATCATATCAGGGAGCCAAAAAGGAAATAAATAAGGCCAGTGAGGCTCTATTACTGGATTCCGTAAAGAGCTGTATTGCGGAAAAGCAGTGGAGAAATGTATTTAATGAAGCGGAGTTCCCATGAACCTGCCAAGAAAGGAGGCTGTGGCAGAGTTCCGGATGATAACAGGCCACGACTACCTTAGGAAGCACCTGCATAGACTAGGAATAGGACCACCCCTCCATCTCCGGCGTGAGCAAACTGCAATGTGTCTTCACGAGCTAATGAGAAGATCGAACCCAGAGTTTTGGAAAAAATACAGAATCCCAACTCAACGGCTCAAGGCACAAGAATCTGTCATGCTAAAGGCGAAGGCTTTGCTTGAAGAAAGAGGGCTGGACTGTGAAGAAAGGGAGCCATTTATACAGGCACAGTTCCCAATCTACAACCACGCAAGCAGGGTATAGCTGTAAATCCTCCATAAGGTGGATAAAAAAGAAACACCAGACTATAAGCTAAAAGCAATAGCACTAGAAACTATAGCTCAAACGTGCCCTCGTCAGGATTGGCTTCACATTTATACCGATGGATCAGCTGAATAAGCCGTTAAAAATGCTGGGGCAGGGGTTTACTCGAGAGAATTTCAGTTCAGGTGGGTGAGGATTGTATGAATTTTTACATATAGCAGCGATCCTCATAGCCCCAAGAACACTATCAGAAAGGCAAGTACAGAGCGCTGTTCTCTTTGGCGACTCTCAAACAGCAATCCTAGCTATTCCTGACGTGAATAAATGTCTCTCAAGTGCTATCTTGTAGTGCAAATCCCTCCTCTATGATCTAAAACTCCGAGGCACCAATGTGGTCCTACAGTGAATTCCGAGCCATTGAGGTATTCCAGGAAATGAGGAACCAGATAGACAGGAGAGGAGCAAAATTGCCTCAAACAATCCATTCAAAATCTTACGATTCAATCCGACGAATGGTGAAGATGGTAGTGAAGGAGAAAACAAAAAATATACACAAAGACAATGTGGAAGGGAGATGTTATGAATTGAATATTTGGTGGAAAACCCGATTCCAGCTGATCTACCAAGAAGAGATGCAGTAGCTTGCTTTCGCCTGGCCACTGGTCACGACTATCTACGAAGTCAACCTACACATGATAGGCGTGGCTGAGGTTTCTAGGTGTGAATTATGTGAAGCAAAAATGGATGCAGACCACCTAGAAAAATGTCCTGCTTTGACGGACATAAGAAATAAAAAATTCGTGAATGATTGTATAAAAAAATCAAACTTATACTCGGATTGTCAAATGACCAATGACTGTGACATAAGAAAAATACATTGCACTCTATGTAATTCGGGAGCACATATAGACGCAGCGCATTTAGGTGTATGCTCGCGCTTGTTGAACATAAGAGATACCACGTCGTCCAAATCGGAATGGTACGGAGCTACATGATCTCTGATGGCGAAAGCCGATAAAGTGAGGCATAGTTAAAAAAAAAAAAAAAAAAAAAAAAAAAGGAATAAGATTAATTTTCATTTCATTTCATAAATAACACAATCCAATTTAAAAAAATATATATATCAACTTAAAAATTTCAACAGTACAATGATAGAACCATGACAAATATACTACATTTCTTCTACCCAAAATCACCCCAATTCCTCCTCCCTGTCATCTGATTTTTATCGCAGAGTAAAAAGAAAATAGCCCGGAGATCTGCTGCATCACCATTAAGTAATTAAGGTCTTTATCAAGTAACATAAAATAAAAATTAAAACAACTGAACAACTACATCAAATTAACTAGATATGCTACTACGCAGTTGCAAATGGTGTAAATGAATGAACTAAAATAAAAACTTACATATTTATGTCAATGGCTATACGATTCTCTAAGTTGTACGCTGAAAGTTGTCTTCTAGGGATTTCCTTTGTTGATGTGACCGGATCTTCTGAAACTATCAAAAAAGTTTTAGAACTTCTTTCTACTCAAAGAAGTAGACAAAATTTTAATTTAAAAAAAAGTTGTGATTAAATCATAATATAGAGGAGCTTATGCTCCCTTCTCAATATCTTATGAAGGTCTTCATCTTTTCTTTATAACCTCCATAGCCGCCGCACCTCCTCTTTCTTTAAAACCCATAGAGAGGATTATTTGTGCGTTATGGCTGTATAATGGGTTTATGATTTCGGTTTATGTTCTCATATTATTTGATAGGCTCCGTCTTGGTCTGTTTAGATGACAGTTCCCATGCCAACAATCATTGGATGGCAGGAACTGAGTAATAAAACACTTGAAACTAAACTAGCCATGAAAAAGATACCTAGATGGTGAGGGGTGCACCTCATTCCGGGGACCTAGCAGCACTGTCTCCAGTTCCCATCTTCTAAAAGTGAATCCCTAACTAACAGACTATGAAGAGAGGAGAGAGGAGCAGAATGTTATTTTGCTGTTTTATACATATCCTCAGCCTTTGACAGCGTCTGGTCTAAACGTTCTCCAGCAACAACAGAGATGTGTAGCATATAGCAACTTATAGACCCTGTTACGGTGCTACCTCAAAGACAGGCGAATCAAGATAAGACGCAGTTCCTTTGAAGCAGAAACTTCCACAGAGTGGGTATTCCCACAGGGATACATTCTAGGGCCGGAAGTGAGTCTTTACAGAGTTGTTAGGAGTATTAGAGGAGGATAAGTTTCCTGCTACTGCCTTAGTGGATATTTATGCTGCAGAAGTGTCATCCAACAGTAGAGCTGTCTTAAAGGAAGAAGCAGAGAGGTGGCCAAACAGAGGATTTAACTAAGTAAGGTGTTACATCTTCTACCTTTACTCTGATCACGTTTATCTTCAGGGTAAATCTACAGAGACTGCATTGCATTTTCTAGTTGTAAGAATAGAAAAGGTACTAGTAATCCATTTTAGGAATCTTCAATGTTGAAGGGGCATTTGACAAAATGAGACCTGGATACATTCTGCAAAGCTTTAAGATTTATATTTATAAATCTTAAAGCTATGCAGACCCACAGTCAATCAGACCTACAGTCAGTCAGATGGGTGCCTATGTACTGCAAATAGAAATGTTTCAGAAAAAGGTATCAGAATACATGCACAAACAAAAAGGAGATGCATAGGCGCCGACTACTAGGCTATGCTAGGGGCCTTGAGCCCCCTAACGCTGCCCTGGAGGGGCCTCAGCTCCTTCCCCCCTTCCCACAATTGCTATTGTATGAATTTCATAAACATATCGAACTTGTACATTACAATTTTATTACAAAGGACTGTATCTATCTACTAGCAGATATAATTTGTTTAACGGTGTCCTACTTTGGATTCATAAAGTCACCAAAACTGTAAAATTAATCATATGTTAAAATACTGTACTGTTTTAGTATAAACTATTTTATGTGACAACACTTTTTTGTTATTAGGAAGGGCTTGAAACAACTCAATACCTATAAGAGATGCTATTTTCTCATATAGGCATATATTATATATTGCATATAGGCACATAGGATATACTCCAAACAATATCCCCACTCTCCCAGACCTCCTACCCCGTGATTATATGGTTTGTCCCCCTCCCCTCCAACAATTTACATAAGTCGGCGCCTGTGAGGAGGTCACCATGGTCACCATTATCCTTGGAAAACTGACACCACAGCAAGTCATTGCAGCCCAGAAGCAAGGGTGCACTCAGGCAGCCACTCTGGAGGAAACAGCAAAGATGTTTATTAAAGTGACATATCCCAGAGATGATCGATCACAGGATGATAATGACCATGCATTTGTGAGAAGAGCCACGGTATACCCACCTGGGATGGACCTGTGACTATCATGGGACATTTGTTACCTCCATAGGCAAAAGACTGGCCGGGCCCCAGGTTTAGATGCGATTGATGCGGCAATGCTCAAGAATAGTATTCCCTATTTAGAGATTAGGCTGCTTGCGATTCTCAACGACATCCTAGATAGGGGATATTTTCAATAAGCGGGAAAATCGCTGCTGTCAGACTCGGAAAGGTAGAGATAAGGACAAGCAACTTGCCAAATAATACAGGCCTGTTTGTCTCCTCCCTGTAATGAGCAATATATTGGAAAACCTGGTGATCTTAAGCCTTCGGCCAATCTTATCAAGATCGAGCCATCTACGGCAATATGGATCCACTAAAGGAAAGGGAATCGCAGATGCCATATTGAAAGTGCGTAGAAGAAAGAGTGGAAAGGTATGTTATGCCTCTCCTGTTTGACATATCCTCTGCATTTTACAGCGTGTCGTGGCCGAATGTTCTTCAGCAACTCCAGAAATATGAAACTCCCAGTAACCTGTATGACCTAGTGAGAAGCTATCTCCAGGACCGGACATTGAAAATTAGGGGAGGATTCTTTGAAGTAGAAGACACCGTCGAGAGGGGCTGCACGCAGGGATCTGTTCTGGGCCCCGCCTTATGGAAGCTAGTCTTTGACGAATTGTTGGAGAAGCTCGAAGAGGAGTGGTTCCCTGCCATTACCTATGTTGACAATTTGGCCACCGTGGTGGCCTCATACAGCATAGTCGGTCTGAAAGCAGAAGCTGAACGATGTGCCAGTTTGGTTGGAAGATGGTGCGAGAGGAAGAAGTTGAAGAGGGCTACAACAAAGACCCAGGCAGTTCTCTTGAGGGACACGACTGACAGGGTTCATATTATGTTGAGTATAGAAGAAGAAAGGGTATGTCCAAGTGAGGTTGTCACATGCCTTGGCATAAAAATTGGTCGAAATTTCAAAGTGACTCCTCACTTGGACTATATGAGAACTAGAGTCACATTGGCTCTAAATGGACTCAGTCGTGTCAGAGGCGCCTTCTGGATTCTCAGATACCCAGCAACAATGACTATATACAAAGGAGTAGTTTTGGGTATTCTGTGATATGTATCCTCAGCTTGGAACCTAAACCTCTCGCACCGACAGAACAGTAGGCTACGATCGATTCAGAGCTTGGCTTTACTTCGGGTCACTAGAGCATATAGAACGGTATCCCATAAAGCAGTGCAAGTACTGGCAGGACCCCTCTCGATGAGGAGACTAGTACCTCTTTAAAATGAAAAGAGAAGATTCGGCGGATCTACCGGAACATCTAAAGATGAGAATTGATGAAGAACCAAGAAGATGGAAAATAATTATCAGGGAGGACACAGTTGATCAATGGAACCGGCGATGGATGGCAACTCCGAAGGTGGGTATCCTAAGAAAGTACTTCCCCACGGTCAAGTCACGATTAGATGCAAAATGGGTCCTCCCGAATTACTGGGTGTCTCAAATCCTCAAGGGACATGGGGGCTTTCGAGCGAAGCTCGTTAAACAGGGGAAGAATTGATCTGCTATGCCCCAATTATAATACATAATAATGCTAAACAAAATTTTAATTAAATAGATCTATACTACCAGCAGTGGCACACGCATACTGCTCAATACCCCACTGCTGCTACAACCCGTAAAGGCAAGGCTGGAAGAAAAAAAAAAAAAAAAGCATGGAGGGTTATGTAACCTAACCGTGATTATTTATAGTTTGCTGGTTCTGTTAAATTGTTATTGTTCCAAATAGGTTATTATTACAAATTACACCATTGTTGTTAAATTAGGTATATTTATTCATCAATACATCACAATAATTTTCTACAATGACTTGAGGATACGCACAAGCATTAGCGGAAGATGGCGAGATCCTCATCAAAGGTATGTTTAAAAACAAGGTAATAAACATACTCATATTAATAAATTATGTTATTTATCTTAATTAAAAAATGTTAATAAACACACCTCTGATAAAAAAAAATATCAAAATGATAGTAACATTGAATTTGAAAGAATTCAGGTACTATGTAATGTCGTTCAGAAGTGGCAGAAATATAATTATCAGACAACCCAGTTAAGGATGGAGTTGATATTTAATTTTAGGAAACGGAAATTGGACACCATCAAAACTCCGATTTTCTTAAGAAATCAATTTTCACTTCATGATAATCTAGTACTAAAATTGATATAAAAAAAAGAAAAAAAAAGAATATGGACTTGATTAGTTTTGGAATGGAATGCCTCTTATCTGATGACTAAAACAAGATCTAAATTGTATGCCATAAATCTTATGCCATCCAATACCGATGATGAGTTACATTTATAACAATCCCTATTATCAAAAATCATAAGCATTCTAAGTTTTATCTTTATTTTATAGGGAACATAATTTATAACAATCCCTATTATCAATAATCATAAGCATTCTAAGTTTTATCTTTATTTTATAGGGAACATAATTTCCTTTTAGATAACCACCAAGAAGACTTCAACAAGATTAATACAATAATAATTGTGAAAGAAGAAATAACCACTATGGTGTACAGTGAATACCAAAAAAACAGTCAATTTTTCCCAAGTTTTAGGTGTGTATAACACCGTTTCAGTGCAAATGATCCGGTAGTCTATGCAGATAATTATGACTTATTTTTTACAAAGCTTCAGCTATCAACAATAACGTTCTCGAAAAAGGATAAAAATTAGAAGTCTCCCGAAATAAAAATTGCGGCTAATCAAAACTTGAATGTTTAACCTTATTATAGTAATTGATTTTACTTCAAAATGATGCATCCTAGGGAAATTGTTTTTATTTTAAGAATTAAAGAACATAAAATTCTATGTCGAATTAGTAACTAACGTTATATTGGATTATGATCCAGAATTATATTCGAAATCTATCTTCAAAACACAGCAGTCCTTATTATATTTGCCTTGTTTCTTGAATGATTTGGTAAAACAGATTTATTATACTTCAACCAAAATCTTTATCCTAATAAACAAGATGCTATGGATAATTAAGAAATCGTGGTAAGTAATAAATCGGCCTGAAAGTAAATTAAGATACAACAAAATATATGAAATTAATAATAAATTCTTCTCAACAACGGCATCAGCCCAGATGGAAAATCGTTTCCGAGAGAAGACAGATTCATACACCTCGGTTCCAGAATAAACTAAAAAAATGAGCAACTGTCAAAAATATGTCAATTTATTGCAAGTGCGAACAGGGCTTTCTTATCTTAATTAATTCTTTTTTAGTGAGCACTTCCAACATAAGAGAAGATTCTTGAAAAATAGAAAAGAACATAAACTGCAAAAACACCACTAGGTAAAACCAAGTTTTGCTAAAGAGGTTTATTATTCCCCAGCCATATATTATGTATAGATGGGATTGTATATTGCGGAAAAATAGTATCAGTTAAAGTATTTTATTGAAAGATGATTCCCAATTATGCGAACAGATGCCTGCGTAAAAGGAAGATAACGAGATAATTGAAAGCCTAGAACAATTAACAC